TATTCTATTCTATTCTATTCTATTCTATTCTATTCTATTCTATTCTATTCTCACAAACTACCTGGGCAAAGTCTCTGCAGTTTGCTTGGGAAGGTTTTGGTGTGCCATTGCCTTCCTTCTACGGCTAAGAAAAAATGACTGGCTCAAGGTCACTCAGCTGGCTTTGTCCCTAAGAACTTAACGTCTAGGGTTCTAGCCTGGTGCCTTAATTACCACACCACACTGTTTCTTTAAATTATATATGCAGTGCTACAAAGTAATAGTTTTTAAAAGGCACCCAAAAGATACATTTTTGTAACATGAAATGAATATTTAGGCCTGAGATTTAAACTGGTCTGGGCTACTAGATTAAATTCAGACATCTGGGTTTATACTACAGTAGCATCCCTTGGGCCATCAACTAGAATTAATCACACAGAACATCAAATGATCTGCATGGTATATTGTATGAATAACAAAAATTCAAAAGAATAGAAGTTTGGAACTGGCCAAAAATTAAGTGAAGATGCTGCATTTTCCAAGTACAAACATACTTTGGTGTTAAATATTCATTCTTCTGAAAGCATAATTTTTATCCTCTGAAGGATATTACTGTAGATAGCATTTAAATAATTTCTTAGCTAGATTTTATAATCACAGATCATTTGAAAAATAACAAATCACAGCTGTATCCTTTAATATCATGAATAGAATAATACTAAAAAGGTGGCTTGTTTAAAAAAATATTTTAGATGTTTAAAATCTATCAAATTTGAATCCATAATTTCTACTGATTCCAGATGCAAATAAACAAGAAATAGGAAATCCATTTGAGATGATAAAGGTGAAATCAATAGAAAAACAGATGAAAAAAAAAATCAGACGAATTTCAGCCATTTTGGCTAAAGTAGTAGCAAAATGATCCAGCAGTTTCAAGAGTGACCATCTTTGACTGTCATTTCCAACCCCAGTCCACATTTTTCAGGGACTTTATGTAGTCCAGCACACTGTTGCATCTCTCCAGGGGTTTGTGTTAGTATGTAAAGTTTCAGAATGTAACATTTAAATAAGGCTGAACTGAAATGAGCTTTTTTCTATTTCACCATCACACCTCCAAAATTTATGAATGGCAAAATAGATCTCCCAAAGGACCCAGTGTGATGGTGTGAGTGACCATTACTTTTGACTTCTTAGTCATATGTGTTTGCAATTCACATCAAATAAAACATCAAACATTTCATCAAACATTTTTTTTTCAAATGTATTGTAGATGATATGCTACCCAATTCACAGGGAATCAAATTTATAAGGAGTGAAGTTTCTTTTCTTTTTTTTAAGTAGTATCCCTGATACAATGTTTGGTAATAACAAACAAAAAAACTTCAGTGCCAAATATTATTCAGCGGTGGGAGGACTTCCAATTTCTTCAGTAATTTAATTTAATGCATTAAAAATATGATCCATGTGTAACACAGTAATCCAATGAATTGCAGCAGCTGTCTTGCACTTACTGGTTAGTCTTAAATATATGGTTCAGTAGCCAGTAGAATGAACTCAAGGGTTCTTTCATTGGCAATTCTTTGCATATAATAGATTGCACATGTACATGACCAACCATCACTCCAGAAACAAGAAAGCAGAAACAAATGGTTGAATCTTCATTCGTAAACATACGATTTGTTTGCCAAAAGTTGCAGTTCTCCAGCTCATGATTTGAAGAAGCAGTTCTAGAAAACGTTATGAGAGAAATTCCTCATGAAAGATTCCTTTTCTTTAATCGACTTTAGGTTGGTGCCTCTTCAGTTGGCATCAATTGGTTGACCTTCATTTTCTGTTCAAATAGTGCTGATCCTCTAAGGTCTCTCCCAAGAAACAAAAATGGAATTGACACAGACTCGGATGTGTACAAAATGCTGCAAGATCATGAAAGGCCTGTTTCAGAACCTAAGCAGTCAGGATCTTTCCGGTATCTGCAAGGCATGTTGGAAGCTGGAGAGAATGGTAAGGAACACAAACATTCCTCTTTTATGCATACCTTAAGGTACATGCTGATCTTAGAAACCATATGTGCAATAATTCTTGATCGTGATGGTTGACTACATAGTAGCCAGATGCTTAGGCTGGATTTGGCATTTCAGTCCACCTATTGAGTCCTTCCCAAGGACCCGGGAGAGGCAGACATTGTTTGAGGGCACTAAAGGTATCATCACAAGATATTTTATCTGTTTATTTGTATCTTGCTTTACTTTATTTTTTTTACAATGAACTCCAGGTGGCAAACATATCCAATATACCTTCTTCCTCTTATTAATGTAATGAATCTAGGTTTATTAATAAAAGCTGTTCCAAGTAAATCTGCTTTTTGCAATTGACTAATTGTGATTTTGTCAATGCCAACGGTGTTCTTCTGGTGCTCCAGTGGTATGGGGATTGCACTGCAATATAATATCCTTTAAAAAAGCCAGTTTCTAACATGCTGTCTTGCTTTTATTACAGGCCTTTAAAAGTCTCTCTGAGTCCTGACATACAGTAAAACCAATAAATCTGGCATGCTATAAAAGTGCACTTTAGCAGTGTTATGGTCTTGCTTGATTTCCTTTACATAGCAAGAGGTCATATCTCCCCCCCCCCCCCCAAAAAACCATAAAAATGAAAAAATTTCTAAAATAAGCAAAAACATCTGTCTTCTGTGTTTCCTCTATACGGCTCATTGGTACCAGCTTTCCTTTGTAATTTTTAAAATATCTTTCACACCATTTTCCCTGGGTTTTTTTTTTTTCAATGTTTGGTTTTTATTTAGCAAAACAGAACTTTATATGATATTCCATGTTATCTTGCTTTCTAATTCTTACAGTCATGCTACCATTTTAAAATAAATACCTTAAGATTAATGCTGGTCACCTGTTCCCTAATCTTTATATCATCTGACATATAGCCCCATATTAGCTCAGGAAAAAAAAATCCCAATGATTTCCGAAGGTATTTTCTGCTTTCTGTGAAAGCAGCCTTAGGATGTCCCTATCGTTCTGGTGATAAAGAAAGGAATGTGTGAATATTTTAAAACTACCCTCCTTATTTTTGAATTCAAGAAGACATTGCAGATAGTTCTCGAGTTACAACCACAATTGAGCCCAAAATTTATGTTACTAAGTGAAACATTGGTTAAGTGAGTTTGCCCCAATTTTATGACCTTTCATGCCACAGTTGTTAAGTGAATCATTGCATTTGTTAAGTTAGTAATGGTTGTGAAGTGAATGTGACTTTGCTTGTCAGAAGGTCACAAAAGATGACCCCAAGACACTGCAACCATCATAAACAAGAACCAGTTGCCAAGCATCTGAATTTTCATCATATGACCATGGGGATGCCACAATGGTCAGGAATATGAAAAATGGTCATAAGTCACTTTTTTCAGTCCCGTTATACCTTTGAATGGTCACTAAATGAACCGCTGTAAGTCAAGGACTACCTGTATTTAAACAAAGCAGTCGGCATATCTGGGACATTCCACAGGCCTTAAATCAATAGTACTGAAATTTTATCTTACCTTCTTGGCAGGTGAAAAGTACGACAAAGTGACCAGTCCAAGACACATTAAATCTCCCGTCCCTAAACTGGGTGGAGCCATGTCTGGCTTGCAGGTGCTCCCTGAGTGTACCAGATGCGGTAATGGCATTGTGTAAGTACATGAATCTTCCCAGGAGCCTTAATAGTTTATATCTTGTTCGGGAAAGCTAGTGAATAAAAGTGCCATCTGTTTCACTTTAAACTCTCGTAATGTATGGGCCATAAAACCACATTATGTGCCGGGTGGACTTATAGGAGCAGGATGGCATCTGGACTTCTTCTTTCACAGGAAGATTAATGAAATGTGTATTGCAGCTTTAACGTTGACGAATGTTAGTCTCTTGATCCAAAGTACCTGTGTTGTTCCAAACTTTTTATGGAATTCATTGGAATCCAGTTGGCTCAGAGATTAAGGAGCAGCTGCACATCCTCGGCTTTTGCAAACGGTGGAAGCAAAGCCCCTTAGTCTTTGCAGGATCCAGTCTGGGTCAGTCACGGGGACCAGAGATTTTGTCTTTTGAGTTTTGGGACTTGTGCTGGAGTCCGTCCTCGGGGAACTTCTCTGTGTGCTTTGAGCACACACCTCCGTGTGTGGTATTTATATGGTGCCTGTTGTGTGTAGTTTTTTAGGTGTAGATTGGAATGTGGCTGGCTGGCTATTAAGTCTTAATAACTCTTCATCTTTGTCTTGGAGGGCAGAGATATGCCTAGGTAAAATAGAACTGTTTAGGCTTATCCCAAAAGGTGCTTTTTCAGGAGGCAACAGGACTTTCTTGTTTATTTCTTTGAAGACGTTTCACTTCTCATCCAAGAACCTTCTTCGGGATGATGAGGAATGGAAGGATTTATATTCCTCGCAGACAGCGGGTCATTTGCATTTTGTTAGTGTGGTGGCGTCAAACTCTTGTCGCCACCACGGCGTCATGTGGCATATCGGGACTTTTTCTCTCTTCGCTAAACTGGGCATGGGCATAACAGCACGTGACACATCCGGGTTTATCCAGCTGTAGTTTGCAGGGGTTTTTTTTCCCCTCTGGAAGTCCATTCCTACTCTCACTCCATTCAAAGGGTGTTTATCCCAAATTGTAGAGCTAAAAGTCTGTAGAAATTCTCAGTCATCCAGGTCATGGCTGTCCCAAAGGTGCTTTTTCAGGAGGCAACTGGACTTTCTTCTTTTTTTCTTTTGAAAATGGTCTCTTTTGAAGATGAGAAGCAAAACGTCTCCAAAAGAAGAAAGAATGGAAGTCCATTTGCCTCCTGAAAAAGCACCTTTGGGAAACCACGACTGACCTGGTTGACTGAGAATCTCTACAGATGTTTAGGCTAATGCAACAACTCATTGACCTGCAAGAAATAGTAATGGTTTTAAGTATTTAACTTTCTTCTCTTCTCTTCTCTTCTCTTCTCTCCTTCACCCTAACAGTGGCACAATAGTGAAAGCCCGTGACAAGCTCTACCATCCAGAATGTTTCATGTGTGACGACTGTGGCCTCAATCTGAAGCAAAGGGGCTATTTCTTCATTGAGGAACAACTATACTGCGAGACGCATGCCAAGGAAAGGGTTAAACCACCAGAAGGATACGACGTGGTAGCTGTTTATCCCAATGCCAAAGTTGAACTTGTTTAAGTAGTTACTTCTATTTCCCAGCCAGGTCGAAAGGGCTAGAAGAGAGTCAAAAAAGGGTTTATTCTCAGTAAAATATCTTTCAGAGATCAAATGAATTACCCTTGAGACCTTAGGTGGGACAGTACTGGTTGCAGAAAACCTTTGGAAAACAATCACTTTCCCCCATTTCTTATAAAACTTTGCTTTTTTGGTTGCTGTGCTGAAGTTTAAAAAAAATCTGCAAATAATATTTGCTGTAGACCATCCAAAATCTATGTAAAAATAGATGCTTTTTAAAAAGAACTTTTCCACATACAACCAGTATTTTTTTTTGTCCCATTTAAAAATAAGGCACTTTAAGAACTGACAGTTTAAAGCATTGCATTAAATTTGACTTTTTGTCAGTAATATAGATATACGATAAATACAGCTTTGTGGCTTTCAGGGTATAAAACACTGAGACCATGTTTAATTATTATTATTATTATTAATATAGTTAGAGAAATTCTCTTATAAATCCTTTCTCAAGTGGTGTTGTTATAATTGCTGCCTATTTGTTATTTTAGTTATGTTCAGTATCTAGGAAACAAATGCCTTTTTATTTGCAAAAAAAGCAAAATCTTTTTTGAGTTGAGCTTTACTCTTAGTGACTGCATATCTAAGCTGCAAAAAATTGTACATCCATTAGAAGGCCAGCAGCAAGCTAGGGGGTTCTGTATGTTTTGTGCCCTCTATGGTTGACTGTTTTGCAGCCCAGATGTGGTAGCCTTATTCACGGACATGGACACCTAATTTTCTTGGTAATAATACAAAAGTCATTTCACATTTTTCCTGAAACAATCAAAGTGATAAAGAGCCCCTTTTGTCATCCTTGTGACAGATGGTAGCATTAGCAGCTGGAATTTTCTGCTTGCCTAATCCTGCCCTTTTACTTTTCCTAAAGAAAACATTATTGGAAACCCATAATTGATCCTCTGTTGGTTAAGAGCAGTGAGCAGGTTAAAGATGATTTGTGTGTTCTCACTCCTTCTAGATCATCTGATGCTGTCAGTTGTAAAGATCAAGAACTCTCAAATGTAAAATTCTCTGTAAACAAAAATGTATGGAATGCATGTACAGCAAAGAATCAGCTATAACAGAATATTTACACATGATACCAACGTTCTTTCTTGCTATTATTCCTTTGTATCAAATCACACAGCCAACTATTTCTACTACTTTCTCCTTTGTGTTTAAACCATAAGATTTTGTATTCAAGCCTGGAATATAGAACCATTCTGAGGTTCAGTGAATTTTGAATTTGAATATTCATCTCTGGGGCCAACATCAGTTCAGTCAATATAAAAGAAATCTTGATAACAACAGGGCAAAGACCACACTGTTATTTTTGACTTTGAGTTTTCAGAACTGAAAATCCCTGGACGTACTGAAGTCTCTTCATGTTTGAATGAATTGAATGAAATGCAGAAAAGTCCATAAATTATAAGAAAATTTAGCCTCATTTCAGACAAATAGACATAGAAGATAAGACAGACAGACAGACATTTATTTCTTGATAACATAGGATGAAACTTGCCCAGTGTGAAAACCACTTTGTTTTAACAAGTAAAATGTAGCAACAAGGATGAAGAAAAGTATGTACTTTTAGTTAAAACAAAGTTCTCTATACTATTAACATATTGTCTGTGTCGTTAGGGTTCTCATTTAAAGAATCTTGATTGACTGAGTTTATTTTTTTTCTATCTGCAGTTGTTATAAATGTATATATTAATAATCTTTTAGCCAGCAATCCAGAGGGAATCACACTCTGTCAGCCATATAAGCTATAGTAGAAGAGACATAAGCTTTTCCTCCATCTTTTTTCCCCCTTTGCCCTCCACCTGCATACTTTTGTTGTAAAGGACTAGTGAAATTCTCATACATGGAAAGCTGCTGATCTTCTTCCCTAACTAGTTAATTAGTTACGAAAGCATTGCAACACTTTTATTTTCACATTAGCTCTATTATGCAAAGTTTCCTGTCAGGTGGGAAAACAGCTCTATTTGAACTCTTCAATAGCTTCCAACTCTAAGTGAAGAGTTGTAATTTTATTACCATTTATCACTAGTTTTTATGGTTTTCTAACCTAATATTTGTGTTTTTCTCTTCATGGAATCATTTCAGTAAATCAGGGAATACTTATGTATTATTATAGTTATCATTAATCAAAGCAATATTGTTGTTTCATTTCTTGGTTGCCAAGCGATAACTTTCTTTTGCAACAGTTGTAGACATTTGCTCCAATTTGGCTTATTTGTGTTGATCCTTAGGGCCCCTAGGTATGATTATGCTGTTTCATGGGTTTGAAGTGCTCTGTGGAACACATACTGTGAGACTACAATTTTACAGATTGCTGGGTGCCTTTAAATTCAGAATTGGTATCTAATTTCTGGTCCTTGAAATCCAGCTGATAATTCACAATATCTGGTTTTATTGAAGGGTCTCCTTAGTTTATCTCACAACTCTTTTGTCCTTTCATTATCAAGTGAATTTCATAAAAGAGCAATCTTTCTTGACTTGTAATTAGGATTTTGCCTGTAGGGTGCATTCTAACAAAGCGGCAGACTGCCTGTCCGTGGTCCTTTGCACAAGTGCCTTGAAACAGCCCCCATGATTTCCAGACTAGAAATAAAGGTGTTTTTATAAGTGGGTGAGCAATTTACCTTTATGCCTTGTGACTGTTTCTTGAAATTAAATTCAACCATTATTTTTAATCGGATACAAGATTTGATTAAGTTGGTTTTGCATTAAAACTTTCTACTTGGAAAAATTACTTCAATACAAAAAATAACTTTAATACGATTTGAGGTAGAAGTACTGTATATGTTTCATTGTAATAGCTTAGAATATTCAGACCTTGATTCTAGTTTTCCTAAAACATTTATCAATTTAAAAACTGCCTAAAGATAATCATACCTATCACTTTCCTTATGCTTATTTTTCCATTTTGCAAATAGTTCCTGCAATAAAGCTGAAATATGAAAGATGGATATATCTATCTTACTACAATAATCATATAGTTGCTTGACAACAAGGGGAGAACACCTCATAGGAAAGAAACTAACTTGGAAATAAATGAGCCCAGATATTTCTGGATTGGGAAGTGCATCACAAACCTGATGTAACCAAAACTTTTTCTCTTATGCAATGAAACACAGTTTTTTGAATATGTTAGGCCAGGGGTGTCAAACTCAAATTCATTGAGGGGCACACCAGGGCTGTTTGACCTTGGGGCGGGGGGGCATGCCCAGCTTGATGTCACTCGTGTCAGAGGTGCCTGTGGTGGCCCAAGCGCTCTGCAAGCAAAAATGGCCTTGCAAACTCCGTTTTAGGCTGGGACAGCTTCTTGCAACCCTCTACCTGAGCTTGGGATGGCCACGTGCAGTCCACCCAAGTGCCATTTTTGCTGGTAGAGGCATCACAGACTGGTTTTTTGCTGTTTCCAGGTGACCCCCGAGGGCCAGATCTAAGCACCCCACAGGCCAGATCCAGCCCGTGGGTCTTGAATTTCACACCCTGTGTTAGGATATAGATCAGTTTGCATTTCTCCTTGTCTTCCCTTCAACTTCATTTCAAAGGCTGTTTTTTCACCTGACAGGAGTCTGCCATCTACTTCTGATCTGTTATAATAATATTAAAACACGTGGCCCATGTTGGAAATTTTTTAGTCTTGAACTGCGAGCATTTTAAATTGCATAAAACTAATTGCACATAATTAGTTAATTCAATGATCCATTGGAATGGAATGATCCATTGAATGAACTGTGCTTCTATGAGCCATGGCGGCACAGTGGTTAGAGTGCAGTACTGCAGGCTACTTCTGTTGACTGCCAGCTGCCTGCAATTTGGCAGTGAATCCCACCAGGCTCAAGGTTGACTCAGACTTCCATCCTTCCGAGGTTGATAAAATGAGGACCCAGATTGTTGGGGGCAATATGCTGGCTCTCTAAACTGCTTAGAGAGGGTTGTAAAGCACTATGAAGCGGTATATAAGTCTAAGTGCTCTTGCTATTTCAGGCTTTATTGTATGCAAATAACTTTACTAGCCAAGGAATGAAACTTTCCTTATCTTTTATCTGCATGGAAATGATTAACACTCATAATTCCTCCAAATTTGCCTGTTGCTAGTTTCTTTTCTAATAATTCATGCAGTATTCAAATTGGAGTTATCTTGAAGAAGAATATTTTGTTACAAATTCATTTCCTTCTAGATATGCCTCTTATCCCACACAAAATTTTTGTGGAATATTATTGAAACTGGAACTTGGTTTGTTGCCTGTTCAATCAAGGGCAAAGATATTTTTTATTTGTGTGGATTAAGTTTTCAATAATACAGAAAAGCATTTCAGGAAAACATTGTGTACGGAGTTTAAATATATTGTGAGTCCACCTCATTATCAAATGAATTATGGTTTAACTGTTTCATCACCACTACTACAGCCTTAAGAATTTTTTATTATTTCATAGTCCGTCACACTCAGAAACTATGTGGTTGCTAATGTTTCTCTTACACTGCAAACTATCAGGATCTTATGACAATTATTTACAAGGTTTTCATACTCCTGATCACACATTCATTTCAGCACTGGTATACTTCAACTAAAAAAATGGAAAATCACCAAGATTTTGTCAAAATATCCTTATAGCACCAAAGGGGAAATCTACTGAGGTATTTTGATTACGGAACATCCATTGAGAGCATGGATGGTAAGTTCCCTTATTTTCAGTCTTTCCATTCTCTTCAATTTCTCCTCTGGGGGGAATCTTCCATATCTCTTGAATAAATTTTTGAAGAGAAATTGGGAATAAGACTATAAAATAAAAGTAAAGAAGAAAAAGCTCTATTATGTGACCTAAACTCTACTTGGATGACTTTAAACTTCACTCTTAACATATGAGATACCACTCCTCTAGCACTGAGGATGTTACCTAGTTTGATAATGAAAGGTCTGCAAGAAAACAACCAAGCTTAGGGAGCACCAAAGACCTCACAGTTCAACCCTAAACTACAAATATTTTCTTCTATTAGTAGTAATTCTGCTACAAGTAAGAAAAGACATAGAAGCAAACAGTCATAAGGACACCGTCTTTTATTTTAGTACAGAACAGACTTTTTCTGAAGCAGAACTGATGCCCATGAGAAGTTATCTATGAATGGACACATCATTGTGCTGTGACTTAAGGCAACCTTCTGCAGTGGCCCCACTGTTTAGGGAAGAGTTTATGTTCAAAATATCTAGAGGTTTCTAAATTCCATATTCTTTAAAGAAAAAGCTGAAAACAGAAGAGTGAGGAAAATAAAATCAGTTTAACCGAATTAAAAAGTGTCTGTGTTCACCATCTATTCAAGGAACTCAATCATAACCTACTAAATTAAGAGGTTGTTACCAAGCTATGGAACAAATTCTCTATGGAACTTTATTTGGTCCCAAACTCTATTTTTAGAAAAGATGTCGAGGCATGTCCTTTTAACTTAGCTTTTTATATCTTGAAGGTAACTATCTTGCACACTTTTCTGGATTTGAGCCCTGTGGAACACCAGAAGAGATTCATAAGTCCAATGCAGGGAAAAAAATGACCCTCTGTGCTTAGGCTTATTGTTTGCATTGTTCTTTTTGTGTACCATTCATAGGAGGCCGTGACATTCATCTAATCATGATTCACACAGTTTGTAATAGCCACAGACACATAAATATGAGGACACTGTAATAACTTTCCTAACATCAAACTAATGCTGTTAAAGATGACAGCTGGAAGAATTTTGAATATGGTGAAATGTGTGAATAATCCACGTTGATTTATTGTACATTAGTGTGTGGTCTGGAAAGTTTCTTAGACGGGTTGTGGTCTTTCAGAACCGGCTCCTGGAGGATGTTCTGCTATTTATGGCAAGAGTTCAAATTTAAGGCTTCTGGGTGTATAGTTAGAAGGACTGATAGGATAGATTCTTTCATGTATTCATTTTCAGGCTGTGCCTTGTTCACTATGTATGCACTGCTCACAAATACATTTGCTTGTGTATGAGGGTATTCACAGTACATATGAATAGCAATAGCCCAATATAAGTGATAGCAAAGTAATATATCCCTCCAAGTAGAGAGATCTTCCTTATCTAAAGCATCTTCTCCTTGGATATGGAAGGGCATGTTCAAGCATAAAGAGGCAGGGCTAATTAAACCTGGCCTGCTTCGGGTTCTTTTTGCAGAAACATTCACACTACAAATCTCGATCTTAAGCAAATCTGCATGTTTTAAATTCAAACAGTAAATACAATCCTCAATCACCAAAAGAATTGCAGGCTTCACACAACCCTGCAGTCAAATATATGGTGGTTGCCAATATTGCTGATGCCCATCATGGCATGCCATGCATAGTGCCTGAATCTGTGTTTAAAACTATAGAACATTTAATTTGAAACCTACAGAGACTGGATGTAATGAAGACGGAAAGGTACAGGAGTTATTTTGCGCTGCTTCAGTTGGTATGCTAAATGGGTCTGATGCCAATTAGATCAGCCTTGGCCATGATTCCGCAAATGTTCATTACTTGTTACAGAATTACAGAAACCCACTTGTTGATGTGATTACTGTAGTGCGAAACAAAGCTGTTAGACTTTTGACGGGGGGGTGGGGGAGAATACTGGGATTGTGCAAGAGTTTTATTTCAGCAGCTACAGCACATTAGCTACCAGCGCATTTCCATGTACAGTTCAAGGTGCTTGTAAGAGCTAAGTGGGCTTGTGTCTTGATTCCTGAGAGTCTATCTTCCATGTCCCCTTAAGTTGTATATGCTTTTACCTTCAGAGACAGATTTAACAATGGCCACATCTACAAGGTGGAAATTCCTATCCCGAGAAACGAGGTGTAAAAAAATGTTCCTTTTCTCCCAGCAAATTAGACAATTATTTTTAAATCATCATTTCATTCCACTGTTGTCTAATCTTACTTGTTGATGCCTAATCTGTGTGTGCCTCCTTTTGTTGCTACCTGTAAATTGTTTCTGTGTGGTGTTTCTGTGCTTCTGGGGAAAAAAAATTTGTTTGGATGGTATACCTAGCACATTATGTTTGATCTAGGCTGGATGCATCAGGTTGACTGCTGCTTAACACCAATGCTGATTTATTTTCATTTAATTTTATTAATTTACTTAAGTTGGCATCTCCCACCAGGAGCTTCAGGAAGCTAGTAGGCATGCATAACTATATCCATATCCATCTTTTGCTTTGTTCACTACAATTGTCTGTAGTAGGTTGTGTTGAAGGAGTGACTGCCAAGGTCACCTATTGACCTTCTGTGGCTGGAAGTAGACACAAATCTGGCCTTAACCCAACACCCTAATCCTTAGACCACACTGGTGAAGAAAAACCTTACAGTCTTGTATGTTATCATTAGGAAAATTGCAAAGTTGATGGATCAAGGCAATCAGCCTGTTAAATAAATCAGGTAAATCATCACACCAGTCCATTTTTTTTTATTTCCGCTATTACTATCGTTCTGAGGAGATGTAAAAATAATAATGCATACATCTATCACAGCAGACACAAATTTTCCATGTGAGAGCAGAAAATGCCTGTTCTGAAGCTGCTTCTACCCGCCCCCCCCCCCTTTTTAAATTGTAAAACAGGATACCATTACATAAAATATGTGCAACTGACAGAATGAATTACACATTGAAAATGTGAAGACGTGAAAGGGACATCTAAAAACCTATGTGGTCCAACATTCCATTCCCATAGTGGCCCATAAGGAGCTGCCTCTGGAAAGATGATTTGAATAGCGATACCCCTGTATTTCCCACAGCTGGTAAGAGGCCATTCTGGTGGTCATGAGCAATATCCATTGATAGCCTTATACATCACACTGCAGTAGCAAATTCCACTAGACTAGAATATTGTCGGCACCTATTGCAATTATGTCCTTAAATATGGATATGTTGGGAAAGTCGTGAATGAGGTTACCAGTTCTTTCTATAATTCTGACTGCATTTTAATTTATAGTTTCCCCTCTACCAAGCCATATAGACTGGTCTACGGCATTCTAGGCAAAGAATGTACTAATGGTACTAATACAACTACTTCAATCTAAGCTTTGGGGAATCAGATCATACAATGCTTGATAAAATGATGACCTCAGTAGATAAGTGGAATCAACCACCATCAGTACAGAGAAAAGGAAGCTTAAAGGATAAGAGTTCTTTTTTAAGAATGTGATGTCCTAAAGCCAGAAAGAAAGACGTGATACCCTAAAGCCAATCTAAATGCAAAATGCAAAGTCAGCATTGATACTAAGAAAAGTGCTTGCTAATGTGAATTCCCTATACCCTATTCTGGTTGAGTTATAAATTGCTAAAAAGTGTCCTTTTGAAGACCAGGTTTTGAATGATAGCTATAGTTCTTCCTAATACACAACAACACTATTAGGCAGTGAATCAATCTTAATAAATGCTTTGAGCAAAGAAGTATCAGCTCCCATATAATCACTCTTAGCTACCTATGGGATACCCTATTCCAGGCATGTCAAACTGGCAGCCTGCCGGCCAGATGTGTCATGTGCAGGCTACGCCCACCCCAATTCCACGAATGGGAAAACCATCACGAACATCACATGATGGCTACATGATACCACGAGTTTGATACCCGTGCCCTACTCTATCTCTACTATTTAGTTATAATTGCTAGTAACCTAGTTTAATAGCCAGAACAGACAGCCAACACTCTCTTGCTCTTCATCTCAGACTGTTACATTCCCCTTGCTGGTTTTGCATAAACCTCACTTAGTTGAAAGAGTCTGGCTTGGTCTATCTAAATGGTAAAAGCACCTCCAGGACAGCACAGTCCCCTTTACATTACACTGAAACCATAAAACACCTCCCTAGAAATATCCATGGCAAAGTATGGACGTTTGTGGTTGCCACCTTCCAGGAAGCAGCCAAATGTGTATGCTAGTCTTTGCTAAACAATGCTGGGATCACAGTCCCCATAGTTCCTTATCTCTATAAGTGTTGGCCATGTTGGGGGGGGGGATTTTAGCCTCCCCACCCATATGGTATAAGTAGGGGTGGGATTCAAATTTTTTAACAACCGGTTCTGTGGGCATGGCTTAGTTGGTGGGTGTGGCTTGGTGGTCATGTTATTGGCTGGGCAAGGCCAACTCAATATCACTCACATCGAGGCACACATCTCTTCACCTGGCCTCTCATGACTGGGGATGCTGCAACAATCGTAAGTGTGAAAAATGGTCATAAGTCACTTTTTTCAGTATCATTGTAACTTTGAATGGTCACTCCACATAAGCAAAGTACCAACAAAGGAGGGGGAAAAAACTCCAGAGACGTTCCTGAGACAGGAAGTCTAGTCCTGCCAAGAATGCAATAAGGGTTGACGGAGAGGCAGTTTCTGTAAGCAACACCAGAATGTTTCCTTCCTGCCCTCTTTACAGGATTAGGCCAGTAATTTCTTCTAACAACTGGTTCTCCGAACTGCTTAGAATATTAACAACCAGTTCTACTGAATAGGTACGAACTGGTAGAATCCCACCCCTGGGTATAAGACAATGGATTAGGAAAAGCTGAAGTATATCGTGGGGAAGAAATATGTAGAGGGAAGAAATCTAAAATGTATCTTTTGAAGTGGTTTGAGAAGGCTCGTGTAAGTCAATTACAAGGGTTTTTTTTAATCTGCACGAGGATAATATTGTGTCCAGTAGCATTTATAAATGAGAGTGGGAGGATGACACATTAGCTTTGTACGCAAGGCTTTTTTTTTTCCATAGGCACACCCAAAAGAGGTAGAACTTGCAACATGGTGCTCCTTTAGGAGATTTTGATGAAAGCAATACAGTAGAGCCTGCAGATACTGTTTCTTGTAATCCTTCTGGAATATGATTTTTTTTTACTCAAGCAAATTTAGACTGTGTTTTATATTAGGCAGTCTTTGATAAAAACCCTTTCTTACTTCAAAAGTGGTAGTAAAGTACAAGTATGATATTCAGCAATTTGGAGTTTGTTTATTTAGCTTTTAAACCTCAAAGAACCTAAAAATCCATTTGAACTTCTCATGTGGGCTATATATTCCAGAGGCTATCAGGAAAAGCCAGCATAATGTGATCATGCATCCTAGTCAACAGTCAGTTTTAAAAATTATATACCAGCTGTAAAATGTGTGTGTTGCTTGCATAATAAGAGAATGGAACAAATTCAAGAAGCTCAGATGGTAACTAGCACCCGAGACCGGAGACCCAGGGTTGCCTGTTTACCCAGGACTTCTTAAAAGCTCTAATAAAGGCTTATGATCTGTGCCACATCAAAACCAGCTCGTGGGTTCACTTTTGTTGAAGTCCTTTCTGAAGCAACGAGCAGGATTTTGGCTCATCATTGTT